CCACACACACACACACACACACACACACACACACACACACACACACACACCGAGAATCAATCATTGAATTTAGAAATGCCATCATCCTTTATTTTTTTGTAATTGTTTATATCAGGTCCTCTAACTAGTGGTATTGTAGGGCCACTTCAATGTTGAAGTACCACAAAAAACACAATACTTCTGTAAATATGACTTTTAATTTCCATGGTTTAAATATTTGTTGTAATACTACATATTTTTTCACAAGTTTCATATATTCAGTAACTTTCAATTGCATGTGAAAATATGGTTTGAAAGGGTGTGAAACAATAAGGAAACAAATGAAATAAAACAATGATTTGGTGGTTTAGTTGTACCATATGAGGAAGGGGGAGGGGCCCTGGTTTAAAGCATACATAAATGTAAATAGCTAATAAGAGATAAACTGAATATTTATATTTAGACCATTTATTGGGCTTTAATGATTACAATGATTTGAATGACCTTGCTGTTGTTGTACCTTAAATCAGTCATAACTACATGTTCAATTGACTAGATTATAATAAATAAGCAACACTGCCCTCTTGTGGTCATATTGAAACACTGCAGTCTCTTTTATGACCTACTACACAATCAAATAGATTAATTTAATGAGAAACCCATTTTGATTAATAATCTCTACATTGCTCAAAAAAATAAAGAAATGTTAATAAAATAAAGATCTGAAAATGAATATTTCCCCTTGGTAATCTTATTAATAATGTCAGTTTTTCTTTAATATTCCTTAGTTATTATTGACTAGACTATTAACTGGAGATTACTATACACATTTCCTTCTCTATTTACAGTATGTGTCAGCTTTTATGCATATATTGATAATGTGTGTCTATGCATCCACACGACTGCATATTACAATTCATTGGTGTTGTACATTTCATTTTCTGAACTGTATGTTTATGAGTTTATGAGTTTATTAGGATCCCCATTAGCTGGTGCATAACAACAGCTAATCTTCCTGGGGTCCACAAATAACATAAAACATGACATTCGACAGTACATTACAAGAAAATTATATGATATGATATGTTGTACATGTAGTGTGTGTGTGTGTGTGTGTGTGTGCGTGCGTGCGTGCGTGCGTGCGTGCGTGCGTGTGTCTGTCATACTCACACAGTAGGGATGTACTCCCCGGGGAAGGCATTGGTTGTGTAGCTGATGAGAAGACATGTTTTTCCCACAGCTCTATAAAGCAAATATTGAAAGACATGAACAGAGATATAATTATGTAGGATCATCATCAACAGAGAAATATGGCAGATATTTATCATCAGATATAAACTTAGTCCTGCATCAATACACGCCTAACAAACCCCTTTACAGCTCAAATAATGCAGTCATTCTCAAACTGTACTTTGTAAATAATTAGTGTATAATTAAGCGTCAAATTATGCAATTTTGTAATTCTATTTCTAATTTAACTTCATAATGGGATCCGAAATGTTTTTTAAAAGAATACAATAGTTTTTAAGGTTAAGTACTTGGGTTTATGTATTGCATTTTTTCACAACTGTCCAACTGTATATCATTATAGCAAAATCACCATTTTCTTTTTTTATGTGTTATTTCTTATAATTTGTTTCCTTTGCACTAGAACATTGAATTGCCTTGTTTCAAAAAGTGCTATATGAATAAACTTGATTAAGTTTGTCTATAATTAGTGCTTTTCCATCTAAATACAGCATCGTCGTCAGCCTTGATTAACAAAGCTGTTCTTATTAAGAAGAGACAAATAAATTATATTAAATCAGCAACAAAAACACACCAAATACACATTTAACTGATTTAGAATAAAATATATAAAAACATAATGACATATATTGTAATATAATTATAAATAATCATATTTATGGGTATAGTAAAAAAAAAAGGTTTATTCTACACTGTATTATATCTAATATACTTTTATAACACACCTCCAGAAGCTTTAACATGTTCATTAGAGCAGCTTGTCTGAACATCCATGAATCGACACGGCTCCAACAGGAATGAACAAGCTCTGTTTGTTTTACTGTCCGTATTTCAAGAACGACACCAGAGCTCGTGTCTTATCTTTATCAAGGCTCTGACACACATAGCAGAGAGCATTCTGGGTAAATCTGATTGGAGTTAGGACCAGAGAAAGCTAAATATTTATATATAAAAAGTAAATCATCAGTGTTTAAGAGTAATAAACCTCATGCGATGTAATTAGAATGTAATTTACATCTTGAAGTAGCTTGCTGGTAGTTTTAATACATATTTGTCGATAATATTTAAGTTGTTTATTGCATTTTAATGTATTTTGAAACTACAAATAATGCTTTGACCATAAAATAAAACATTTTTTAAATTATTTATCAATTATTCAGTTAACCCTTTTTGCCCAGCCTTTCACTTTATAAATAAGTTGAATATGTTTACTCTTTAATATTCTACTTTTGTGTGATTTATGTTTGACCTGTGAACAAGTAGGCACATTTAGAAATGTAATATTTTTGCTGGTTTTTGACTTTTTTTTATGTATTTCAACCATTCAGAATAAATGCTATTATGACTGTATGCTTCAGACATGATCAATTGAGTATGAGTCAGAGGGCTTTTCCATTTTTGAAGCTCTTCTTAGTATTGCTATTGCTCATCAGATCGTCTCATGCAAGCCGGTCAGCATTTATGGATCAATGCAACTTTAACATGAATTATAAAAGAAATACAGCAAGAAGTGAGAGGCTATTTGCACAGTCTAACGTTTAATTTCTCGGTACATGGTGTATTAAAAAAAAAGTTGGTGCACCAGTGTTTCATTAAAACTGGTATACTGAGGTTTTTATGGCTAAAATAGTACCAAAACATACTCCCTCTGACCTCTCTGTGCTAATTAAGCTAAATGTTCTGCATTAGTAGTTAAACATTTCAAATAAATACATAAAAGATCAAAGGTGTGTCTTTACATGTAAGTACTTTTGTGATGCTGGCAAACATATTAAGTACACATTAAAAGGTGTATTGACTAAACTAAATAATCCTAAAATCTGAATATTTTCTGATTAAAAGAACAACACTACAAACTGATCGAGTTATTACAAGTCTCTCATCAAAAAAGGTTTCATTCGTGTAAAAATCGCAGGTGTATGATCATGGGAATGTGTGTGAGTTTGTTTTGCTGCATTTGTGAGGACCACGTTTTGAGTTAAAACCCATTTTGCGGGGTCCTCAATAAAAAGCATGCAAGTTTGTTTTTTATGACCACTTCTATTATCGGCACTACCTCGTAAACGTTGTTTTGCATTCATTTTAACAAGGTCATTCTGTATGTAAATGTTTGGGTTGTGTGTGTGAGTCAAATAGGAAGTGATATGTTTTCGAAGCATCAGTTTAGCACTGGAAACAGGAACCAGCAACACCTCAGAGTTCAGCCTTCGATCTCTTTCTTCTTTATCTGTTTGTCATCTTCTGCTGACACCATTATATATATTATCTGCTTCTAGCTGAACAAACTTTAATACAGATTCAACGTCACACTGACTTTGCTTCTGTCTTCCTACTCTTTATTATTAACATCTTTCTCCATTCTCAACATCACTTCTGCATTATGTTTATTTCTCTTCTCGTCTCTCTTTGCTTATGTCAGCCTTTTGGTTAGAATCTCCGAAATATCAAAATAACTTATTTACTTTATTTAGTCACTTGAGACTCCCACATTTCCCTCTACTTGGTCCTCTACAGTAAAGCACACGCTAAAGGAAATGCTTTTAACTTAATTAACGTATAACTCTGAGGATTAGCTAATCACACATTTGTTCTCAAGGCTGAGAATATGAAAGCAAATGGAGTTTAGTAGATAGCATCTTCAATGTCTACAAGGGTCGATTAAGCTCAGTTTTTAATGGCTGCATTTTATGTTTGATATCTGAAGTTTGTTGAAGTGAAAGATGTCATTTCAGGAGACTGCACAACCACATAGTAGACCAGTAAACTGCATCTATGCCTTAAAGAAAAGTGGTTTAAAGGCTTGCAGACTCTCTACTTTACTTCTACTCAATACATTTCATACTTAAATTAATTCAGGTAAATGGTGTACTTTTATTCCACTACATGGATTTAATACTTTTAGTTACTTTACAGATTTGGATTAATGATGTGAAATATAATTTGTACCTTTACCAGTTTTGATAACACTTTAATGATCAATCATTATAAAACATATCATATATATTATTCTGAAATGGACCAATCTGCACAATGACTACTTTTACTGTCGCTACTTCAACTATATTTTGATGAGAATACTTTTCTACTTTTACTTGAGGAACATTTTGAATGCAGGACTTTTACTTGTAAAGAGTATTCCTACACTCTGGTACTTCTACTTTTACTCAATTACAAGATTGAAGTACTTCTACTTTTACTCAAGTACAAGATCTGAGTACTTCTACTTTTACTCAAGAACAAGATCTGAGTACTTCTACTTTTACTCAAGTACAAGATCTGAGTACTTCTACTTTTACTCAATTACAAGATTGAAGTACTTCTACTTTAACTCAAGTACAAGATCTGAGTACTTTTACTTTTACTCAAGTACAAGATCTAAGTACTTCCCCCACATCTATAACTAGCAAGCTAAGCGCTAACAAGCTAGCTAGTCAACAGCATGCTAGGAAGTTAAACTAGCTCTCCAGAACTCTTTGAATATCAATATACTGTATCATTTACTCAGCTCTCAGGATTTGAAAAGTGTAGTTAGCATTTTAGCTTGACCGCTAATAAGACTTTCATACACTTTATATTCAAAATAAGTGTAGTCCCATTTTAGACCTATAGAATTAATTTTGGCCCCCATTTTGTCCCAATGCTCGTGGGTGATGTGTTACGATCTCCAACCAATGCTATGGCACTATTTCACTGATCAACAGGTGGAAGATGCCAGATATTCTTTTGAATTTGCAATTATTTTTACGAGACTTCAATAATAAACGCAATTAATTTTGTTAAGCGACACTCAATTCAAATGTAACTTATGTTGACAACTACACAGTGACCCTTGAAGGGTTTTAAAAACGGTGTGTTTAATACTGTTTATAACTGTATATAGTCCTCTATATTCATATGTTTTGTTCAGTAGGAAGTTAGTCTATTATTGTGTATTAGGAATATTTGTTTATATTCTTTGTTGTTTTGGAGAAGATACTCTATACATGTTGATCTTTCACTGCGGATTGGTTTATATATTTAATGTTTATGTTGGGGGTTTTTAACTCCTGTAACAAAACAATTTCCAAATTTGGAAATATTAATATAAGATATATAATCCAATCTAATTACATGACATATTAGGTGTAGATATGTAGCTATAACTTAACCATTTTGAAATCCACCGTGCCATGTTAGGGTCATGTAACAGCAGCATTTTAGCTCATATGTGCACAGTGCTCACTTCCCTTCTTCCCCTATAACAACTTCCTCTTCTCTGCAAACAGAGGCTTTAAATCACATTTTTGACATCTGGTTTACTCACAAACACGATCTTAAATCATGCGGGCGATACAGCTGCTGAGTTTATTTAAAAATATTGTATTTTCCACAAGCTGCATCTGTACAGCGTTCATTGGCGGCATCCATCAAAATGGTTTTCATGGCAGAAATGACTCATCACCACCATCGGCTTTCACTGCCAGCTTCCCGGCTCTCGCAATGTCAAAGCTATTTTTATTTTTTATTTCATATGTTCAACAATGTTATGTTTGAATAACAAGAAAGGGAATTACCTAATGCTAACTTTTGGTGGATTTAAGATCAAATCTACAATGTTTTCTTTTCATTAGTCTGACAACGACCTGTTCCGTAAGCAAAACAGCCCACAAACTCAAATTGAACAGCAGATGAAAAACAATGTGTCTGCCTTAATTTACTGTGCTGAAGTCAAACCAAAAAAACCCAAAATGTCTCACTTTTCTAGTAAGTAATGTACCCTTATATGTAGCACTGGTAAATGTTACATTTTCTGCAGCCTGAGCTCTTGCAGTAACAGCTACAGCACTTCCGCTTCACAGTTTCCTTATTCACGAGACACCCGGCATGTTTTTGCCCCACCTTCAAGTATCAGATTAGAAGTTCCTGATGTACACGACACACCGTAGTAACTAGTTCTGAGAGAGAGCATTTAAGTCTTTTTAAAACAACCAAAATCAGCAGTTTTTCCAATACTTAAGTACATGTACTGGAGTGTTGCACTGAAGTAGAAATGTAAGGTACTTAAAGTAAAGTATTTCCAAATGATGCTACTTTATTCTTTTAGGCACATTTAGTTTTTACTCCACTACATTTACTTTACAGCTTTAGTTACTTGCCACTTTGCAGATTAAATTCAAAATATATTTTAATTTATAAACTATTAACTTAGAAGTACTGTACTTAGGTAGACATGTGAGGTACTTGTACATCAAATTAGTATTGCCACATGATGCTATACTTTATATTTTTACCCCACTGCTTTTTGGTACATGAATGTTTTAGTTTTTACTCCACTACATTTACTTTACAGCTTTAGTTACTTGCCACTTTGCAGATTAAGGTAGTACATACAAAACTAAATTAACATACAAGTAATGTACTTAGGTAGAAATGTGAGGTACCTGTACATCAAATGAGTATTTCCACATGATGCTACATTATATTTTTAACCCACTGCTTTTTGTACTTTAATGTTTAAGTTCTTAATCAACTACATTTACTACATTTACAGAATTGCTTTTATTAGTTACTTTGCAGAGTGAATAAAACAGAAATGTAACTTACAAACTATTAACTTACAAGTAATGTGCTAAGGTAGAAATGTGGGGTACTTGTACATCAAATGAGTATTGCCACATGATGCTATACTTTATACTTTGACCACACTACATTACTCTATGCAGGCCTATTACTGTACTACTTTAGTCACTAGCAATAGCAGATTTATGTTATTAATAAAAACATATAATGAACCTATAAAAAAGTATTTGTACATAGGTAGAAATGTGAAATACTTCTACATCAAATACTATATATTATGCTCCTTATTTTGTCTAGGCAATTGTACTGTATGTACTGTGTGGTATTTGTCAAACAACTATTTCATCCCACTGCATTGTGTAGGCACATGTTGTCCTTTTTACTGTATCTAAGTTACAGCTCTAGATGGTAGAAATGTAAATTACTTGTACATACATTTGTTTTTAAACTGTGTGTATTAAACATAAATGTATTGCATCACATGTCTTTTCATGTGTACAAAGTATCTAGTAACTATTGTTTAATAAATAAATGGAGATACTTGCCTCCAAAATGTAGTGGAGTAAAAGTATGTGTAGCATTAAATACACATACTCAAGAAAAGTACAAGTATCTTAAAATAGCACTTACAGTAAGTGCAACAATTGAGTAAAGGTGTTAGGTTTCAAAACTGCATTTTAGGAACTTTTAAGTATATTTTAAACACAATACTTTTTGTACTTTTCATTGAGTGTGATTTTAATGCAGGATTTTAACAGAGTATTATTACACTGCTACTTTGACTGATGATAAATATCTTAGTACTTCTTCCACCTCTGCCAAAGAGTCTTAAACTAAATGGTTCTTTTCTTTTTCGACTATTTCTTTCTGTTCTGTTCTTTCTTGACTTTCCATCTGCAGTATGCCGGAGTGTGTGCTGCATGTTCCTGCATGCTGTGGCCTGCTCCATCCAACACCCTCATTTTAAATCAGCGCTGTCAAACACACGCCTAAAGATCCTCACACACACACACACACTGCGATCCTCAACAAGTTTAACACAACAGCAGCCCCTTTCAAACAGCCATCGCTCTGCGGAAGTTGAGAAAACTGTAACTTGAAGTTGTTCGAACCCGAACCCTAACCCCTAACCCTAACCCCTAACCCTAACCCTAACCTAGGTGACATTTCTTTCAAATAATCAAAAATCTTGACCCTGGGGCTACAAGTTCCCCATCATGCATCAGCTCGTGGTTCAACACCTGAAGGCGTCTTAAGTTATAACAAATGTATAAAAAAAGATAATGGCGTACCCATCTCCCACGACCACACACTTGATAGCCTGCATCCTGTTCCGTCTGTGCTCTTCACTGTGAGAGAACTCAGAGAGGAGGACGACTACAGGAAGCTGTTACACACCTCCCTCACACCCCTCCCTCTGCTGCCTCAGTTCCTTCATTTCTGCACCTCGTCTTCCGCCTCTGCTGTTTCTCTCTTCTTCTGAAAAGTACAACTTATGCAAGCAGTGTGCAATTCATATGTTTGATAAGATGTGTGGAAGGTGAAGAGAGAGAGACGCTGTTTCGCAAGTGGAGAAATGTGAAATGATGAGGCAGAAATAACCCGCGGCTTTATTTAAAACTTCCTCTTTTTGTCCAGGCAATCAAACACTACATATTAACAGACTACTAAAACAAACACATATTAACAGACATGCACACACACACACACACACACACACACACACACACACACACACACACACACACACACACACACACACACACACACACACACACACACACACTCTCTCATACACACACAGACACACTCACTCCCTCCTTCTCTCTCTCTCTCACACACACAGACTCACTCACTCACTCACTCACTCACTCACACACACACACCCCCCACACACACACACACACACACACACACACACACACACACACACACACACACACACACACACACACACACACACACACACACACACTAACACACACACACACACGTACACACACACACACACATGCACGCACACCCCACACACACACACACACACACACACACACACACACACACACACACACACACACACACACACACACACACACACACACACACACACACACACACTCACACACACGACACACGTTAACACGCACACACACACACACACACACAACACACACACACACACACATGGATCAGTCCACAGTCAGTATACAAAATGGAAATACATTTTTAAAGAAATACACACAGATCTCCAATAACTCATGATATTGAACTAAGAGTTAATTATGTGTGTGTGATTTCCCCTTCCGTCCACTAGATGGCCCTTCAGCATCATTCTTCTCATTCATCATCATCGTCTACATTTGAAACATGTAAAGCAGAACAGCTGTTGGTTCAACTATTAGAAATATTAACGTGTGTCTCACTCAAGTCTTCCTAAGTAGAACAAAGTAGATGCATTTGTTGGATCAAAAATTAGAAAGTCAGCCGTCCATTTGTGATTTTGTTGAAAATGTACACTGTGGTTTTCCTAAATGTTTCCATAGTATGAACATTTTGAATACTTTGCATAGCATTTCCTCAATATATAGAAGGATATGTTTTAGTAAGATTTAAATGTACATTAAGTAAATCTGATTCCACATCAATAACAGTTATCCGTTAATCTCGATAAAGCCAAAGAGCTTAAAAGATCATCCTAAACAAAAACAAGGCTAACCTCTCAAAACATTTTGTATTTATTTTTAAATCAGCAAGAGTTCGTACGTCACAATAAAACAAGACCACTCTTGTTTTATCTAACCCTAACTCACATCTTCAAAATAAAAGTTAGCAAAACAGGTCATATAACGCAAAATGAGGAATACAGAACTGTTTAAAATCAGCAAGTATTTATAGGTTAACTTCAAATGACTTTAGAGCTTAACCATATTATGACATGATCGCCTTTCAAAACTAACATCTTTTTGCCATTGAGCGTCAGTGTCGAACCAATATGTCTGCAAAATATTATATATTCAAATAGCAAATACAACAAAAAGTCTCTGTTGGATTTACCATTCCATTTGTTTTAGTCTTATTGTTGGTGACAAGTCA